TCCTCTGACAGAGAAAGAAAGAGAGAGAGAGATAGAGTGTGTGTGTGTGTGTGTGTGTGTGTGTGTGTGTGTGTGTGTGTGTGTTCGCTCCCCAAGGTACTGGCACCTGGCCTAGAGTATGTCTTGCCCTGTGCTTTCTGGGGATATGATCACTGTGACCAGCACAAGTGGTTATAAATCATGGATGGATGGACTAATTTTATACTCCGAAGGCCTGAGATATTAGTGCTCATGCTCTCCGTATTACAATCTCTGAACAGTTAAACGCTAAACTCTGGAGTTACCGGGCATATAATCCGACAACATTGATCTCTTAGATACATACGATATTACAGATATCTATTAAAGATATATCAATCTTTGCAAGTAAAGGTAGGAAAGACAACCCCAATTCAACAGGCAGGCACAGCCACTGATTAGAGAGAACCCCTTTATTTCTGCTGGTGAGCTGAACACATTTAAATAATGAGCATCACCTATTTATGAACGTGCAATGCTCGACCAAATCGCATCAAGCTGCACACCAGCGGAGTCTCAGAACAACCCCGGCTCAGAGTGAAACAGTATCTCACTCTCACGGTGGCTCTTCACCCACACACATTATTGTCACTGTGTTTCCTGAAGAAAGACCCAACCTCAGACATCACTGGCAGACATTTCTGCTCTAATCCGAATTGGAAGCATATAAATAGTAAAATGTTCACTCTCTGCAAATTGTGCCCATTTCCCATCTCCGCCGACCTTTCTGGCTGTTAATTAATCCCGGGCTCACCGCAGAAAGGTAAAGCCTAGTCAGGACTACAGCCAAATGCTTATCAGCAATGTAATACTAATTAGTGTGACCCACACGACAGGAAATGAAAAATTTCAATTAGTTACTGGAAGAAGCACTTTGCTGGAGATTGTTATGTTCTCATGAAATAAATGAAAATATGTTTCAAGTGAGCCCTTATGTTACAACTACCCCCCCCTCCCCCACCGCCACTTCTTGTCTACTGATACACACCCCAACCCCTGTCTGGTGACACACTGGTGAGACTTCTACGGTGATGTGTGGACAACAGGTAGCTGGCTGATCAGGAGTGACGACTTTGTGAACAAGACGCCCACAGTTCACCTCAGGACAGGAGATAAACAGGCGTCATAACCTAGGGTAAGCTAGTTTGTGACAAAATAATCAATGATAACAGTAACTTGCTATTAGTCTCAAACAGCCTAGGGGATAATTAGGTATAGCGTGGATAGTGGTGGAGGGTATTGATGATGCTTCATAGGACCGTGGGCATCTCCCCGGGGGGGGAGGGACTCACTCCAGGCCTCCTGGAAGCAGACGATGTTGACCCCACACATGGCAGCCACCTCCACAATGTCACCGATCCGTCTGTGCAGGGCATCGATCTGCGCGGACGGAAACACGGCGGTTAGGTACCTGCCCCCGCCAGCCCGGTGCCCGGCAGCGACACGGCTAATTAGGTCACCAGCTGCTCCGCTTCTGCCAGACGATGTTTAGCCTGAGAAACTAATCAGAGGTCATCTGCATTTATATTGGAGACGGCTTCCGCTGTTACGCACGGTGGAGGACCCAGGATGATGTCGTAATTATCCGCCAACCAGTCCTATGCCGCATCAGCAGGGCCGAAAATCACAGCCACATACACGAGTCATGCCATAATCTCGAGCAAAGGATGTCCGCTTTCTTAGAAAAGAAAAATTCCTTTTATCCCACACGATATAGAAAGAAAAGGAGCTATTAAAATCGGACCAAAGGGTTCATCATAGATATCACCTTTTCCCCAGAAGGTTTAATGACATTTGGAGAGTTAAAAAAACACTTTCACTTGTTCACACCCAGAACACCCTGGAATAAAGGATTTTCAAAATGAACCCATCTGCAGTAACTGATAAAAAATGTGAAAAGGGTGCCTACAAGGGAGCATTATATCAACAGAAGTATAAAAACAGATGTACATATCTGCATTTATGAACATAATATACAGTTATGTGCAAAAGTCTTAGTCAGCCAAAGAAAATGATCTGGTGTTTGTTGCTGTAAAACTATGCTAGTACAGTATGTCTGTCAAAGTGTGTCAGCTTAGCCATTTCAAAACCTCTACTAAAGTCACCCTAATATATGCAGCGACCATCCAATACACCCATGTAGTAACACACCTTGTATAGCTAATCAATGCCTCATTGACGGAGTTTTTTTAATTAAGTCGGCGATGAAATTTAATAAATACATGGAATAGATGACGTGACCCTGAGGAGAGGTTTGGGAAGCAGCGTTCATCTAGCCGTCCAACATAACATCCAACTTTTTTGAGAACAGAAGAAATTTTGACTAGATTTTAATTGTTACTCTTAATTTGCATATATTCTAATGCTAAATTGTGTTTTCTGTTCTGACTAAAAGTGTACTTACCACCCAGACAAATTGCTTTAAACATTTCTTTGGACTGCCTAAGATTTTTGCACAGTATTGTGTGTGTGTATATATATCTCAGTGTACAAAGTACAGCCTGATGACATCCATTAGCACAAGCGTTACAGATGGCCTTAGAGAACCAGCGTGGCTGATCAGCCTGCTGCTAAATAAACCATTTTAACCTAGAATTATTACTGATAGTCGACACACTTTCACCTCATGTGAAATGTATGAAGTACGAGTTATTTACGTATTGCATTAAGAAAGAATGGAACAAATGAACCTACATTATGAATTATTATGAATTATGAATGAACATTTAAGAGGTTCCAAGCGTGTCACTACAGATGAAAAGGAGGGTTAACGCTTTTAGGGGGAAGATATGATTTTAATGAAAATGAATGAAAACACACTATTTAAACTAAATAGTGTACATTTACATTTAAAGAACATTTTACCCACCCAAGAACAGCCCCAGTAATGCCCTTGGCCCTATGTATTTGCACAGAAACCAAAGGCAGGATCATATAGCTGACAGCACGGCCCCTGGCAGCCCTCTGCAGCCCTGGCAGCTCTCTGCAGACTTCTGCAGCCCTTGGTAGCCCTCTGCAGCCCTGGCAGCTCTCTGCAGCCCTCGGTAGCCCTCTGCAGCCCTGGCAGCTCTCTGCAGCCCTCGGTAGCCCTCTGCAGCCCTGGCAGCTCTCTGCAGACCTCTGCAGCCCTCGGTAGCCCTCTGCAGCCCTGGCAGCTCTCTGCAGACCTTGGTAGCCCTCTGCAGCCCTGGCAGCTCTCTGCAGCCCTGGCAGCTATCTGCAGACCTCTGCAGCCCTCGGTAGCCCTCTGCAGCCTTGGCAGCTCTCTGCAGACCTTGGTAGCCCTCTGCAGCCCTGGCAGCTATCTGCAGACCTCTGCAGCCCTCGGTAGCCCTCTGCAGCCCTGGCAGCTATTTGCAGACCTCTGCAGCCCTCGGTAGCCCTCTGCAGCCCTGGCAGCTCTCTGCAGCCCTCTGCAGCCCGCATCTAGATGGACGCCTCACCTGATCCATGATGGGGGCACTGGTGGGCAGGACTACGGCGTTCTGCACGAGGCCTACGCGTATGGTGTGTGGCGGACGCAGCTGCTCACGCGCAGCTCCGAACTGGCAGCCCAGCAGCTGGAAGTCCCGCTGCCTGGCCGCTTCCTGCGCACACTGAGGCAGCTCCAGCATCCTGTGGAGGGGGCAGGACCTTCTGTAACAGCCCACAATGCTGACTAAAGCTAATGGCGGGAGCAATGAAAGCATTCTGTATGACGGGGAATAGTAGCAATGGCTGCTTGTAACATTATAGACATACAGTAAGGCCTTCATACTTACAGAAGTCATGTGTCCTTTATGTATTTTTACATAAAAGATATTCATCAGGTATCAGGAAGTCATTATGTCTGACCTTTTATATCAGGGGTGGGGGACCTGATCCATGGAGGGCCGGTGTCGGTGCAGGTTTTTGGGATGACCTCTCAATTGACCAATAATAAAACAGTGGTTCTCAACTCCAGTCCTGGGGACCCACTGTTGTTAGCCGATTGAGAGGCCATCCCAAAAAACCGCACCGGCTCTCCATGGAACAGGTTCCCCATCTCTGCTTTATATACTGGCCAGTTACTGCTTAATCAAAACCACAAGTTATCTTCCCTGACTGATCGCGTGCACAAACGCTGTATTTCTAAAATGCACTACAGTATCACCGTAACTTACATGCTAAAATGCCATGAATAACTAATATACAAAAACTACAAAAGAGAAGCCCTGGTCATATAAATGGCTATTGTACTTTTTCATGCAAATAAGTAGGGTGGGCATTGTTAAAATGGGACACTTTCCGAAAATTTGTTCTCTGGGAAAATCATTTTAGTGTTTTGAATCCCAACTTGACACCATTATGAATATATAATTAATGCCCCTTGTATATTATATAGAAGAGAAAATAAAGTATTACTAACCACATATATTAACTGCAAAGATTAACTGTCCCATTTGGCAGGTGCCCCATTTTCACAATACTCACCTGTAAATGCACTCTAGGGTTTGTAGTTTCTGAAGACGCACTCAGTACTTTATGTATCGTACTTACTTCGTTCCTTCCCCGAATAAGATACGTCTAACCTCTTTTAGTTCATCCAAGGGAATATACTTTTCCAATGTCTCCTCCAATGATTCAAACTGCGATGCAGCCATTTTGAAATGTCAAGGAAAAAGACGATAATTTTTTAACGCAAAAAAAAAAACCGCAAATTATGCCCCAGCTCCCACAAGACTAACTTTGACTATGCCCTTTCTCCGGCACAGGTCCAGCCTCGTCCCCTCTTTTAGCTATTGGTTAACAAACTCTTAACTTCATACTTCTTCCAGGGCTTATGCAAATAGGCCTATATCAGTTCACTGTATATTTTTGATGAAAGGAAATGACATAATAATATATTAGACATAATGCCATTACGATTCAACACGTGGATGTCACGTCTTTCAGCATTAATAAACAATATTTTCTGTTTTATTGTACGAGATTCCCCGACTTCCGGGGTTACGTTTTTGAACAGCGGTGTTTGCACTGAATGTAACCTGAACCCACACTGAAGGTCGCCGAGACCATGCAGTCCAAAGGTGTAATTTAGCCTGCAATGGGGGTTATGTGGCATAAAGACACCGCCACTCCGGATCCGCTGTGCAGGGACCGATCCGGACCAAAACCTGATAAGGAGACATGAGGGGGATTGCGGTGTTCGCTGTGATAAACCCATATTTGCTTTAGGTTATGCAGCGATATTGTGTATCATATATGCCTAGCAGGGTCGCCAACTCTCACGCATCTGGCGCGTGACACTCACGCTTTCAGACTCTCGCGCTCACGCAAGGAATCCTACAACAAATGTATATTATTCAATTATAAAACTAAAATTAGCTGCATCAAATGCGCTGGGGTAGTTTGAAAAGCTTACAGACTATTTACAAGTTAATAAAACTGTAAAAACTGAGTGTGCAAACTTGTTTCGAATTGAAAATCTCACGCCAGTCAGCTGGCCAAAGTTGGTAGCACTGTAATAGAGAAGTACCTAAATGATGGATTGTTTAACTGTGCGTGTTTTTATAGGGAGAAGAAACAAAAATAACATTATGATCTAACAAATGTCTTAGCTTTTCAAGCAGTTTATTTATTTTTATGTCGGTATTATGAAATAGGCCAACCTCGAATGTTCTTATAGACACGAAGTTAGTCGTAGGAAAAATACTCCACATGCCTGCAGACTGTTTAAATTCGATCGTATAAATTTCAGTCGCAGGTTAAGTTCAACATTTCCGCCTCAATGATTATTGTTATTTATTTTTTGATCGTTCTGAACGTTGTATAGGTTGTCGAGTTGATGTTGAAATAAATATTCTACAATGGTATGGATGGGTGGGATGGAACGGTTACCAGATTCATGGTAAAATTCCCGATGGTAAGTATTACAGTCTCAATTTTAAACTATCATTAATGCAGTGGTTGATTACAGTGCTTTGAAAAACTCACGGCAAATACCGTACAGCATCAACCAAATTCAAGTCTTGCAGACGCAGGTGCGCAAGCGCAGCAGGGAATGTGGGTTTGTTTTCTATCAGCGAAAACATCGCAGAAGGCAGTAGCTGCTCTCCGGAGATTTTTAATGTTAATGCACATTTCATATAGTTCTTATACTAAATGAGGAATTGGCAGTGTTATTATTTTAATGCGCAGGCAAACAAAAATTGCATAATGCGGCTTTATTTGTGGTTTTCAATATCAACGCTGATCACGTGATCATTTCACTTTGTGTATTAATAGGCTACCTTTTGAACATTTTCATCACATTTTAATAATACCGCGATAATACTGATGAACGTGATAATTGTGGTCTATATAAACCTGTATTAAATTTGTATGCCGTTTCATCTCTAGGTAAGTCTTCAGTTAATTGTACGATTGCAGTTTAATTATTTAGAAGGGCGGTTTTAGTGATTTTGAAGCCTCAGGCAAAGACCAGTGTGTGGCCCTTCTTCATTTCGCTTAACACAATCATAGCTATAGTGAACAAAAACTATTTGAAAGTAGCTCGTTTCAATTAACAAAGCCATAGAACTATAGGACAGACCCAAATGGGTACTGGTGTACCTGAAGAACTTCCAATGACCTTCAGTTATAAGACTACATAGTTATAATCTCTTCTTACCACACAGTCTTTAATTCTTTCAAACTACAGTAGTTGTTTGTTAACATGAATAACAAAGCACCTACCAGTGAAAGCATGCTGACATCGGTCTCTGTACCTCCATAAGAGTCCAATGGTCGATGTACATCAAATTCCTTTATTCAAAAAACAAGCTAAATTGTGCAAACACAGCAAAAACTAACACTGTTTAGTTAGCATTAGTGACATCATCCATGGATTCCAAAAGGTAAATTACGTACACACTTTCAGTGTGTATGGCAGGCTCTTAGGAACAGAACATGTCCTCGGTCTAGCCGATTGGTTTAGTTTTGACTGATTGGTAAGTGTTTTTACCCAACTGTCCCCGAACATGGTGACTATCCTCCTTTTTGACAGACCTCTCGGACACCAGTAACCTGGAGGCCATTGAACACAGAAGGAACAAATAGCCAATAAAATGACATATCACAAGCCCAACCTCTCCGAAAAGTCATCTGGCACAATAAATAATGTAAGGTACAAACAGCTTTAGTGCTGCTGGTCATTACTGGCCACTGAGCAAGGATATGCTAGTAATCACTTAAAATAGGATGTGAAGTCAGAAATGGAATGCAGAAGAAAAAAACTAGTTACACACAGACAAGACAAATATTTACACTTTTATTTAAACTGGACATAGTGTGAGAAAATCTATTATGACACTGCGACTGTTGTACCAATTCACATAAGACTTTTATCAAATGTTACTAAGGATTCTGTCTTTGAATCCACTGTGTTTGCAGGGTCACTAGGCTAAGCAAAATGTTTTTAATGCCAAAACAAACCACAAAGTCATTTTGGCATCACAAAAAAAAAATCAGTTAAAGTATTTTTTATTCCCATAAGTAATACTTTTAAAAATTCCTTTGTGTCTTAGCAACATTTTGTGACTGTCGGGATTTAAACCAGTCCCTGTTGAAGAATGTAGTACATGTGGTTCACAAGTAATAAGCATTTTATTTCGGGTATGCCCTTAAAATATTTTTAAAATGGGGGCATGCATAAGTTAACGCAACTTCACAAGGTCCTTTGGCAGATGAGATCCGAAACATTTGCCTATGTATGCCTTATGGTAAGACCACCTCTGCTTGGTGGTAATCACAAATATTGTATTCTAGATAAATCAATAACCTGTAACCATTTTTAAATTACGGTGAAAACTATAAGCCAGGGGTATTTAACTAAAATTTAAAGAGGTCCAGTTAGAGAAAATTTCTTGAAGCAAAGGTCCGGAAGATCATAATGTCTAACTATTTAGTGCGATATATCAACATGCATGTAATCAATACCTGACTGTTTCAGGTATTTAGTGTAATTACAATTAGTGTAACAAAAGTGTAAATACACTTTTGACGTAGCTAATTTTAGGTTTATAATGGAATAATATAGATTTGCCGTAAGATTTCCTGCGTGAGTGTGACAGCGTGAGTGTCATGCCAGATGCTTAAGATTTGGCAACCCTGAAAACGTACATTTTTTTTGTTTCACCTGAGTTGATTTATCTAACAAATAACATTACTTTATACAGCTGTTAAAAAACGGAAACTTCAACGAACATGAAATCACCAATAAACTACGTTCATATATCCGACATGTTATATAATACATACTGTGTTTGAAAACTTTTCAGCTGTAGGATTTCAGGACAGAGCAGCCCCTCTGTTAGGAACATTACGGCTTTTTGTTTGCGGGTGTTAGCTTCGCTGCTGCTCTTAACACTAGACTTGTAGTCAAGACCGCCTAAACCAAGACCAAGACACTACCAAGACCAGAGGGCATCGAGACCAAGACTAAGACCAAGACAGACCGACTCAAGACCAAGACAAAGTCGAGACCGAGACCAAAAAAAAAAAGACTCCCTTAACTTTTGTGTGCTGTTGAGGACTGACATGATGGGTACTGACTGGTCCCAAAGTCATCTGACAAAACAAATAATACCTCCAACAACTGTCTAAAGAATGGGAAATATGTAACTGATTTCAATTGTACTTAATTTGTAGATGAAATTGTAACATCAAATTGAAGATACATAATTATAAACTTGTCCCATTGTAGTAGTACTAGCCAAATGACACTGTATGATATCAACTTCCCTGAAATGGATTAGGCCTGTTAAGTCAACACAACGTGATATGCAGATGTTATTTAAAAGTCAATGGTCACATTTATTTAGTCAAACAACACAATTTTAAGTAAAATACTGTAATCAAACAATATAAAGACATGTGCACACTTCACATGAATCAAATGCAAACTACAAATACTATATACCAATACAATCTGCACATCAAATTGTGCATTAATAAAAATAAGGATAAGTGCTTAAATTAATAAGCACTTAATTCTGACATCTTGATGTCTGCAGTGGCATGTGATTACAACACACTGCCAATGATATCAAGCCTGTTCTTCAGTCGGGCAAGAACAATAGAACACAGACTTTATGGACAAATAACAGATTGATAAACTAATACAGTTAGATGAAATACTTAAAAATAGAGAGAGAGAGAACGAGAGCATCACTGTTAATAGGCATATTTTCAGAGAGGAGGGAGAGGGAGAAAACAGTTCACATTTTAAAATAGTGGTTGATTGTACTTCAGGAAAACTAAAGATTGCAACATCTTACACCTGTGATGTTGGATCTAACATTTAACTAGTGCTACACTTATTTTGCGTGTATGACGCGCATTTTGACTGGATGAGCGCCAATGTCTGAATCACAACAAAATGCATCTATGTCATTGATTGGTTGCATTTGAAGGGCGCGAAAGGCGAAATAATAATAATGTTGCATTATCAAACGTTACATTGTGTGTCATGGATACTTTTCATTCCAAATCTCCCTACCACTATGTCGATCTGAGACAGCAAAACCAAGACAGCGAGACCAACACAAGACCAAGGGATCCGAGATCAAGACAAGACCAAGACCAAAGACTGTTGAGACTGTGACAAGACCAAGACCATGTAAAAGTGGTCTTGAGGCCGGTCTCGAGACCAAGACCGGTCTCGAGACATCCAACTCTACTTAACACTAATGGCACATTAGCGCAAACAAAGGGCTGCATACGCCGAACTACGTCTTGCTTGGTGGTCAAAGGCATTTGACGTTCATTGGTGTGGGAAACGACGGTTATAGTGCTAAACCACTACCGAAAAGACTACAAAAGCTGCGCCGGATAAAATAGAAGCGCTCCCGTCAAGTTTTAAATCATAACTTTCTGTTTTGGCCGGCCCGGGTTTGATTGGGACAGTCTGGATCCGG